GTTTGCGGCGCCTCTTTGTTTGCGGCGGCGGCTTTTGTGCGTGTTGACCGCGGAGGGCTGGGGGGAGCGGCCCCCGCCCGCGCCCCTCCTGGCGGGCCGGCGGGCCGCACGTGCTTCGGGCCCACCCAGGCTGGGGTAGGGGACGCTGGGCCCCTCCTCGCCGGGGCAGGGAGGGCTGCAGGGAGGGGCTGCAGGCTCGGTCTGCGGTCCATGTGGTGGCAGAGTCCGCCCCACTCAGCTGAATGTCGAGGGTGCGGAGGTGGGAAAGGCCTGCGTGGGGAGGGGGCTTCAGGTCAAGGATCAGGGACTAGGCTGTGTGACACTCCCAGGCATCCCAGCCCCACCCAGTGCCCTCTCCCCTCCTGGTGAGCGCCTTCTCTTTTCTCTCAGACTGGCCAGAGCCGCTGATCCCGCACACCCAGCCCCAGCTCAGGAATGGAGGAAGGAGAAAGACCCTCAGGGGGAGGCCGGGCCTTGTCCAGGTGCTGAAAGGCGCTCTCCTGCCCTCTGGTGCTGGGGTCTGGCTTCTAGGCGCTGAGAAAGCTAGGGGGCACTGGTCCCAGGAAGGCTCTGCACACAGAGGAGGACTCCCTGGCTTCTGCTGGTCAGTGAGGTTGAGTGGACTGGGCACTCGTCTGCAAGAAAACAGGGGAAGGGATGGGGTCTCCTGGCCATTCTTCAGGGTAAAGGCCACAGGTAGGCATTCATGGCACAGATGACACACCACCCCAGGGTGGGCAGCAAGAGCCAAGACTGGGCCCAGGCTGCCCTGGGTTGCCTCAGGCTGAGACCTCCAGACCTCCAGACTTGTTCCAAGCCATGGGCTGGGAGCGGTTAGCTTGAGTTGCCCTTGGGGGATATACCCCCTGAGGGCCACTTCCTAGATTACGGGAAGTTCAGTCTGAGGAGCTGTTCAGTTACCAAGGGAAGAGTGGACCTGGAGGGCAGGACATCAGGCTGTGAGTGAGGTGAGGGTCAGGATGCATCTCTGAAGGCCACTACTGGGCCAGCCCCCAGGCCTGCGCAGCATCCAGCTCTGCGGGACAGTCCTAGTAAATGTTGGGGTGACCTGGGTCTGCAGGCCTCTGGCCTGGCCTGGGTGTCCACTTCCTTTCTACCTCTGCTTATACAAGGACTCTCCCAGTTTCTCATCAGATCATGTGTCTGTCTATCCATCATAAAAGAAGTGGTTTGCGGCCATAAGAGGCCTGGTAAAGGAGTGGGATCAAAGTGCCTTGGGAAAACAAAGATGAACAAACAAGCACCAGCCCCTACCCTCAAGGAGTCTCTGCTCTAGTGATGCAAGTGTGAACAGAGAAATCCAGTGTGATGTGCAGAGTACTGAGACACAGACAGTTCAGCCTCTCTGGCTCTTCGCTTTCCTTCCCTGAGGGCAAAAGGAGACAGGCAACTGACAGAGAGATTCAAGACTGATCTGAGAGGAACTTCCCAAAGGTCCAAGGATTATTATGCAGAAGGCAAAATCTCCAGAATGCCTTAAACCCACTCCCTTGCCTGAGGATGGGTGATCCTTTTCCTGCACGATTTAGAGAGAGGCCAGATGCCCTGGAAGAAAAGACTTTTTAACCTAGGTCTCTCTGCTGATAGTCCTGAAGTCAGCAGCCATCTTGCTGGGGTTAGGTGGGGGTGGGGAGCACTGGAGCTGCTGTAGGTTGAGGTGCTTTGGGGCTGCTGAGTGTGTTCCTCTTCTCCTCCCCTCTGGTGGCCAGAGAAACCAGGTACCAGGTTCCCCCCTTTCCCCGCCCTCATGTGTTAATGTCTCTTTGAAATGAACACCACCTACTCTGGATCCAGGCCAGGGGGAATATAGGGCACCAGTTGAGGTTAACCCTCGTTCCACCATATAGAAACAGGCCTGTTCTCTCCTTCCCTCAGGAGTGCCAAGAAGGGGAATGCCAGTCAGTGTGGGTGGGAGAGGCCCCTGACTGGCTCAGAGTGAGGCTTGCACCCAGATGTGCACTGTCTACGCCTCAGGTCATTGTCTCTGATGCCTGCAGGGGGCAGGCCTGGGGGCAGCCACCTAACATCATCATGAAGCCTGTGGAAACCTGACATCCCAGCTGGGGGTCCCTGGCCTCTTGTTCTCCTGGCACCAACCACCACAGAAAACAGCCAGGCTTTCCTCAAGCACTCAGCAGCTGGGTTTCCCAGGTCTTGGCTTGGCATAGTTGCCTCTTCTTCACTCCAAGAGAGCCCCGCAGAGGCCCTCCCGTGGACAGGCTTGGCAGTGCTGGCTGGCTGAGGAGGGGGTAAGCATGGCAGCCTTCAGGGTAGGTTGATGGGCTTTGCTCAGCCCCTGAATAACTCTTCTGGGAGCTGGAAGCAGAGAGTGATGGGCAAGCAGGAGGTGCTTGGGTGAAGAAAGGGGCCATGACCACCCCTAGCTGACACCTGGTGGTTGCTGGTACCCTGCTTGCTGCCATACACATTCCTTGCTGGGTTGGGGGCGGGGTGGGGCTTGTAGGCCAGGGAATGTGCCAGTTCCCCCTGCCCAGCAGGGCCCTGGGGTTGCCACAGCCAGATGAGGATGGCCTTAGTTCTGAAGTCATGAGTCCCTGGTGTTCCCTGGGGATGGGGGAGTGGGGGCTAGACTATACAGCTCCCTGTGGGAGGGCATATGTGTAGGGGGACTGGGAGAGCAAGATTCTCCTCCTGGCAACCGGAACTCTGAAAGGGGCAGACTGTGGTCCTGGGGTAACATTGTCCTTTTTCCAGGGGCTGCCTCCGCCATAGGCCTCCTTCCTGCTTTCCCTGTTCATCCTTCTGACCTAGAGGCAAGCGAGATGGGTTGTGGGGCTTTGGATGTTCAGGGAGCACCTGGGACCCCTCCCTCCCCTAAAGTGGGTGGTCCTGGGTGTGGGGCATCACCACAACTGGTAAGCCAGGAAGCCCGGGAGCAGGAGCCGCAAACCCCAGAAACCAAAAATCAATGTGTTCTGGGATGACGGGGAGGGGCTGTGCGGGCAGGTGGGAGGGGCAGGATGGAGGGGGAAGTCTGAGGGTGCTGCCCCCACTTGCCCATAGCCTCCTATCAGCTTGAGGACGCACCCTGCCTCCCTCCCGCTTCAGTGAGCTCAGGCTTACCTGTCCCTGAGCCCAGAAGCAGTGACCAGCCATTCTCTGGTCAGCTTCCCTGGGGCCGGGGAAGGGGACTGAGCAGGGCGGGCCCCATGCTGGCTGTGGGGCTCTCGCCCTTCTCCAGCACCTGTGTTTAGGCTATGCAATATGTGTGTGCTTTTAAGATTTCATTGGATGAAAGGACTCTGCTAGTGCTAAAGGAGTTTGAGTTTTTGCTAGTGCATGTGGGTGTGAGGGGTGTTCATGTGCAAATATGTTAGCGACAAACACATGCGTTCCACAGGAGTGGACTCCAGCAGAACCAGAGGGCAGCTGGGCACACATGGGTTTGTACACTTAGGGGCGCATGTGCGCTGTGTGTGTGGAGGCTGAAGTATGTGTGCGTTTGTGCACTTATGGTGCTTGTGCCTACTAGTGTGTGCATGCATGTGTGTGCCTAAGTGGAGGCAGGGTTGCTCTCTGTGCAGGGAGCCCCAGATCCTAAGCTCCAAGGACCCCAGCTTTTAACCCCAGCTGAGACCTGTCGGGATGGAGTCTCCATTCTCTTGGCAGGGAGGGCTGGGTGTTGGGTTTCATGGGAAGCCTTTCATTCCAGCAATTAAATAGCTGTAGGCCTTTGCTGAGGAGACTAATGAATTCTCCCACCTGGGCCCGGGGCAGAGTACCACTCGCACTGCAGGCCCAGCTGTGGGCGGGTGGGGAGAGCTGCTCTGGCACTCAGCTGGGTGTGTAGAGGTCCACATTGGCCTTGGAAAACAGCGGTGCCCTGGGGAGCCCTCCTGAGAGGTGGGGAGGGGCACCCTGCCTGGCAAGACATTGCCAGCCTCTCTCTGCAGCCTGGAGCTGAGGCCCCTGAGGGGGAGGGTGGCGGGCAGCTTCTGGAGCCGTGAGGCCAGGTGGGGTGCCCTGCCTGCTCCCTGGGGCCTTATTAGCAGCAGCAGTAGCAGCAGCAGCATCTAGGGCAGGACCAGGGAGGCTTGGATGACACAGCCACAGCCCTACAAGAAGGCTCATCCTGATTCCCAGCCAGCTCCAGCTCTGAGGGTCCTCTCCACTCCCA